ATTGTTGTTAGTATAATATGTATTTTTCATTTAATGCTGCAACAAGTACACACATACCAAAAAATGCCACGCCCACTTTTCCCTAAAAGCAGCTATGTGTGACTATATTTGATAAATATTATTGATTTATAGGATCATTATGAACACTTTTCAGTGTTTTGATGTTAAAATATACATATTGATTCAAGTTTTGACAAAGTAGCAGCCATAAAATCCAAACAGATATGTAAATATTTCACTTTGAGATCAAAAGGACACATTTGGGAGGGGTCAAATTGAGAATATTTCAAGATATAAATACTGTTTCTATGGTAACCATATCAGTTAGAGATTGGAAATTTCTGGCACTTACTAACCATAACATGCCCTACCCAATATAAAACAATGAATATCTGACATGCATTAGTATTCTTTTTATTGGGTGGTATTAAAGTACCCCCATGGTTTTTTGGGGGTGAGGGTATAAATTGGTCTGAGGGCCGTCTGCCACCCCTATAGAAAGTCCAACTACCCAGAAAGTGTCTAGTATCATCATACAGATGGTTTGAAATAGGTTGGAATGTGTAACCTTTTATGTAAGGAAGGAGTTACAATTATCAGAGTGGGCCGTAGTCTACTAATAGTTATGCAAATTTAAATATGTCCAGTAAAAGAAAATGTTATCTGTCCAATTCAAGAAAAGATATTTCACTTTTTGAGAGTTTGTAACATTGGTTCTGTGGGGAATCAACCCGAACGAGAAATCAATCTTTCGAAAAAAAATTAATTTTCAAAGTTGATAAACAATTTTCAAAACCATATTTCTAGATGTACTTTTACATATAGATTTCAAATATGACATCACTATTTCTGATTTTTGAATATTTAATGACGTAAATCAAGATTATGTCTACTCGCATCTAGTCTTTAACTAAATCACATTTCAATTTCCATCCCCCTTTCAGAAGATATGGTGAACTTTTTGAACAAATTTCTCTTAAACCAGTCATCAGAAAATTCTGAAAATATTACGCATCATCAATTTAATGGTCATATTTTGGATGGTAACATTATAATTTGAAAAATATGTATGTATATACTTTTCTCTATATTGTTTTGGAAAACACATAGACACTTCTTTTGTTCTTGGTATCATATGTTAGGAATGAAATGAAGTTAACAAAAACAGTTATATAAAATATATCAATATTTTTGCATTAAATTGTTGTCAATCAGTCAACATTACATAAAGGACTGTGTTTTAACAGAATGTTTTCAGTAAATGGTTTAAGAAAAAAACATTGTTGAATTCATTTCACCATATCAATACCTATCCTTTAATTAGAAAATTTAATTTTGATAATTATTAGAAAATAAGCCTAACACTTTAAAAAAGTGAGAGGGTGGGGTGGTAATCCATAATTTCTCAGAGAGTTGATTGGTATTTTTAATAACATGGGGACTTTACTTGACAGAAAACTTATTGTTTAATAAAAGAAAACATGGAAACCACTGTATTTATGGTCATAAAGTACTCACTCATGTTGAAAGATATGATTGTTTAAAATAACTTGCCCTACTGTACTTGATTCTTATTAGCCATCAGCTGGCAGCATGTCATGAATGCCAATAGTTCTCTGGTTTTTTTTAATTAACAAGTTACAATTTTCATGTTTAACTAAACCAAAGAATATGTAGCTAGCTGCATAGACAAAGGACCAAACATGTTCCATGGATGTGCAGGAGCTAATACATTGTATTAAACACCTGTTAACTTATAACTTACTAGTGTGTTAAATAAAATAATAAATTACATTGACAATTTAATTTGGAATAATCTAGAGATTGAAATGAAATCTTTTAAACAGGCATGGAAAATAATGTTCAGTTTTAAAAAAAATAAATCTACCGGCTATATTGCAATAGCATACTGTATGGAATTTCCATTTCCTATTTACCCTTTTGTAATATAATTTTCTTAGTTGAGATGAAATGATAAGTGAAATTTAATCTGGAATTGAGATAAAATATACCAAACCAAAATGCAAAAGTATCTATAATACAGCACCCAGGTGCTCTCACTGAAAGGAAGCAGTGCATTCTCCATTATGATCTCCCCATGAGGAAGTGTAGCGGTATAGATTCCAAACCACGAAGTATTTTTGTGTCTGTCAAAATCCATTTGCATAGTACACATCCCTACATCTTATCCAAATATGTTTTTAATTAATGAAACATAACAGTAAAATCTTTGGATTTACAAAGTTGTATGGCGTTTCATAAGTGTAATAAGTTGCTTTTGAAGCATTTTTCTATAGCCATTTTGTAGGAAAAAATGATGAAAAATGTATAAACTTTTAATTTGAAGTGTGACGTGAATCGATTGCAAACTTCATATTTGGACATCTGATGTGACAGTGATATACCATTTGTGTCATATTGTCAAATTATTTAATTTGCAATCAATTCAGGTCATAGTGTATTTTAGGTATTTTTGTGAAAATCAATAGAAACCAATGGCCTCCATTGGAATCTGATGGTATCCACATGTTAAGTCAATGGAGCACATCCAATGTCAAGTCAATACACCCTTTACTGAACTTAATGACCTCAACCTCAGCCCATGTGGGTCCAAATGCTTAAATATTTTCCAAAGTATTATGTGACATTGTATTCTTTATGTTACACCTAAAATGATTCATTTTGTTCATGGGAAAATCATAAAGGAGAGTGCACTAGACCCTTTGATGGTACACCTTAGAATGGGGTTTTATTAGTAACAACAACATAAAATTCCTTTTTAGGTGGCCTTTAATAAAAAGGTGATTTTGAGACTGACCCCTCAAATATAATATTGCACCCCACTACTTTAAATGTACAGTGAGTGCCTTTGTCAGCCACAGGTCAAAATGACCTAGGCAGTGATAAACTATAACAACATGTTATGTACAGTATATAGAAGTCCATGTACTCCTATACACATGATATAGACTAAGGGGCTCTAATAGACAACCCTTTCTGGCCGGCCAGTTATCTTCTCTCGGCCGGATATCCTCCTGGTATAGTAACAGTTCTTTGAAAAGGGATTGTGAATGACGGTAAATGCCAGAGAGAGTGGAGTTTGTCTAAAAACTTGATAGAATGCATTCAGAATTCGATTTCATCTATAGATGTCATGCCGTCCTGTCAAAACATACAAAGGTCAAACTGAGTTCAGAGTTTTAATGGCGGTAGGTTTGGAATCGTCTTTAACCACTTGGTGATGTTTGTTTTCTCAACTTATATTAAATCGAATGAGTTATTTTATACAAGGGGCATATGAAGAGATATATATGCTCCGTCGAGGGTAGTAATCAATAATGAATTTTACGTTTTTGCTTAGTAATTGCGAATTGATACGGTGTTTTCAACAAAAAGTTGAAAATTTGACAAACTTCTGTTCGCCACGACAGAAGTGCGTGATTGTTTCAATATTAACGGCGTAGATCAGGTATCTTAAGCTCAACGATTCTGTGTAATTTCAGGAATTATGATTATACATTTTGCGCGTTACAAGCAATTCAATTTTCGAAATGAGAGATCTCAGAAATTTCTGACGAAGAAAATTTTTGTTGAACGTCAGCGGATTAATATATCATGACGTCACGGATTTTAATGCTAACAATGGACTTGCTGCCCGGCTGTATTGTCACAGATGCCAAACAATGAAGTTGGTCACTAAAAATGGAGGCTATAACAAAAAGTCATGACTTCTAGAAATGAACATTTTCAGTTTAAAGCATAATTAATCTCATGCTGCGAATCAAATAAAATAATTTCACTGTTAAGAAATCATTGTATTTTTTAATATTTTTGTTCATGTATGTATAATATATTATATAATCTATATATGTGTATATCTATCATATTTGCTCAACATGTTGAACAAAATTGCTATACATTATTAAGTCGAATATAACAAAATTAAAACGCTTCACACTTTTTGTATCTTATAGCTGTCAAATGGATAGAAATTATGCAATTCCTCCTTTGTCCAATTGCATAATCAAAAATGCTTGAAAACAATTGAGTTACATAAGGTTTACCTTGATAGCCATTCAAACACAATACCTGAGACAATTTACATCTTCCCTTACACCTGAAAGTTCTCATAAATGAAGTACAAAATCTGTCATTTGCCAATGGATTCATAATCTCTCGTAAAGAATAGTTAAAAATAAGTGAGTATCATAAGATTTGCTTGAATAAGTCATTCAAACACAATATCTGAGATTCTATTGTTCTACAGCAGACAGTTAATGCATCTCTTCCCTTACACTGGTAAGTTCTCATAAATGAAGTATGAGACTTGTCACTTGCAATTTCCAAGTTTACTGAATGATCTTTCAACCATATAATGTAATCCAGTCAACATGTATCTGCCTCATGTATTTGGAAAATCTGCTTTTTAGATTTACACTCTAATCTATTGTCATAGCATAAAACCTATTTTGCGCATGCGTGGAGGTAAAAAACGTGTATTTTTTGCTCTCTCTAATGTACATATATTCACGGGGAAAGTCTACCCGCCTATATACAACCTACCGCCGAGCAAAGACCCGAAGATGTCTGAAAATGTAGGGGATGTTATTAACCTCCTGTTTATATATTGAATTTCTCAATATGAGACATAGATAAAACACATCTATTGTTTGTTACCGATATAGTTGTTTTTCCAGGCACTCATGTTTGCAGAGAAATGAGTACTTAATGCGATATTTACTATCAAATCGCTAGATTCAACTTCTAAATATTAGAATGATGTTTTACATCTTAAATAAGTAGGAACCATGGCTGTATTTACTCCATTTGATTCAAAGATACAATAGGTGCAAATATATATTTTCACACGCATTTTAAGATCAACTAAGAAAATGCACATAACAATAATAATGAACATACGATTATATGAATCAGTTATGAAAAAAGAACTGCATTGTGAGTCAACTGAATGACATAAAATAAAAAGATTTATAACTTACTATCTATGTTATCGCAATTCCTTAGCGAAGCATCCGGTGGAATTGATGTAAATCCTTCCGTGTCTAAGTCAAAAGTATAAACAACAGGAGTCGGTAAACCATCCACTGAAACGAAAAGCTAACAGGTATACATATTCATAGCACTTAAAAAACATATGAAATGCAAAGAAAATAACCAAAGCACAGAAAATTATAATATCATCGTTTATCATAGTTTTGTTTATTTATCAGTTTATAATATGTTTTGCATGTTGTACGAAATCGTAAAAAACAACAATATTTTTACAGTCAAGTACACATGATCAAAACCCAATAAATTACTCAACATATATTATGGTTAGTATTTACAATTTTTCGCAAGTTTTTAAACAGTACAAAATATTATTAATATAATCGAAAACGTTTAAAATAATCAAAGCACGATGAATTACGCAATATTATAGTTAAGTATCTACCATTAATATCATGTTTTAATTAGTACGTGAAACAAAGATAATTACAATAAAATATCTCACACTTACCCACTGGCGGATCCAGGGGGCCATAGGGCATCTTTGGGCCCAAGAATTTAGTAGGGCTTCAATTAGTGGGCCTTTTTAGGCCAAATTATCAAAATGGGCCCAATTTTTCTGATTTAAAATGTGCCCCTCCCCCTTGTTAGCTTCTGGATCCGCAAGTGCATAACGTTCCAAAATTACCTACCTAACCCCTTGCCGTTTCCCTTGCCATTGCCCTTCTGAGCTCTCGACTCTAAAATAAGGAGCTGTGTCAAAATAAACACTCTGATGATGATCATCTAAAACAGAATAATGGATATATTAGTACTGTCGTTTTTGTGTAATGTTTCGCTTTGATTTTGTTTTTATGAAGCTTTAATCATATCATCCCATATCTGTATTTGGGCCTTCATGCGTCATACATGTGAGCAATCATGATCACTATATATTTAATTTCTGATATACTATTCAGAATTGCAAGAATTTGTTGATGTCATCAGACAATCGTTCTGTTATTACAATAACACCACAAAGGTTCATCGTTGCCATTATTATACTAATCAGGTAATATGATAATTAAAGTTATTAATGCCCAGTAGTGACGAAACTGTCAGTTAAAGTTACAAATTTAAATGTACCGCTATGAATTACGATCTAATTAAAATATATAAAATATATATAATATATAAAAGAGATTTAACTGATCGGTCCGTCACTAACTGCGCGTTCTTTTCAATTATACACAGGAAAGTTGGTTCATTTGACAAAAAATTTTCAAAAAATAAAAAAAATAAAAAATAGATAAACCTTTTCTTTTTTAAATGAACCAAAATTTTCTTTGTACAATTACAATATTGAGAGATCAAATGTCATTTTGTTCCAATGAGGCTCGGATAGATGTTTTATTTCATTCCGAACATATGATACCGAGAACAAAAGAAATGTCTGATGTCTTTCCTAAAACAATATAGAGAAAAGTATATATCTATTTTTTATATTAAATTGTATGTTGCCATTCAAAAGATGATCATTGAATTGAATTGAATTTTTTTAATGAATTGTCTTGAATGTTCTTAACTGATATGATATTGTAGGAAAATGTTATTAATGTATTTCACCATGAATAAAAAAATCACGAATGGTTGAGGTTCATTTCACTTACTTATCATCTCCGCGATTAAAACTATAAGGTGATATATATTAAACCTTGTTAATCGAAATATAAGAAATTAGATAAAAAAAATGAACACTAACGTTTAACCAATACTGTATTGTAAAATGTACGTCTACCATGTAACTGTATTGTAATTATTTTTTGCAATTGCTTTAACATGTTTTTCTTCTCTGAAATAAAAAATGAAATAAAAAAATAAATTGTATAATTTTAATTTCTGCATCGCAAGATTCATGCAAAGTAAAATATTAATATCACACTTACCTTCATCATCTTATCTGATTTTGTCTTCTGAGTTGCTGTCCTAGTCAACGCCACGAGACCGTTAAACAGACTGCCAAATGATCATATATTTATGACACATCAGAGCGGGAGTATTTTCATTGGGGAGGCATAAACCGCTGCACTCTTCAAGCTGACAATGGTGTAGTAATATAGGATTATATGACATGATGTCAAGCTGATGGTGACGTGTTTCGTGTCTATACGACTCTAGTTTACAATATAAGGATATTAACCATAGTTCGCTGACCTCAGATTCCTTACATTTTCTCGTCACGATGTGGAATAATAGTTGTAATAGTGCGCCAGAAATGCAGCAACGTGACCATTTAGATGACTTTCGACCAATCAGAAACGATGAGATGGCGTGACCCATGTCAGTCACAGGCCCCGGATCACAGGCTGACAGAGGTCCACCTTTAGGGTCTTGGTATCATGCTGGGAGTCGCCAACTCTTCCTAAGGTCCATAGTCTCATAGTAATACAGGATTATGCCATTCGACATGACATCTCTTAAAGACAGATGGACTATTAAACATTACCAACTTTGCTAATAATGTACAGTGAAGTATAATTCCTAAACTTTCCTTACAGAACTACGTATATCATTTCCATACACTCTCATCATTATTTACCTGAAACAAAGTATGACTACTGTACCAAATTAAGTAAAACGGAAACATGGTCGGGGCTTTTGGGATCATTACGTAATTATAATTATAAGAACATAATGGGGGGGGGCACTGCTTTATTATTTATTCTCATCACGCATGTGATGCATGTTTCTTTCAGTAAACTATTGAACTTTAAATCCATATGCAGACAATAAGCTTATAATTGAAAGCGCTTTATGTTATTTTAAAGTTATTATTACATCTCCTTCAGTAAAATAATTCTAAAATAATATTGCTTCGTTTGAAGATTCGCACGTTGTTATTTTGCTATTTCAATTTGAAAAATGTTTGTTTTGATTTTACTATTTTAGTAGTATAACAATCGGTTAATCGGTGTAGAGCTACAATATTATTGATGTATGTTTTATTCACTACTCAACTAAGCAGTACGCCAACGAAAAAAGGAAAGTTAATCATTAGTACATACATCATTGGCTTGTGATATAAACCAAAACAACCCGATAAGTTGTGTATTAATAATTAACTTTCCTGTTATCTCAAAATCTACTTGGAACTATAGCATTGGATTACTATGGGAAATTCTTCAAAGAGAAAATTCTTGGGGGGGGTACCATTTACATAATTTGAGAAATTATTGGTAGACATGAAACCTATTTAAAACAGCATTAATATTATTCAAAAGCAATCGTAATAATGATTCTCAGCCCTCTGAAGTTTGAAAAATAACAATACCTGGGTGTTAATCCATAGATGATCCTTGAAAATGAGAAATATTTTTTACGATTGTATGGTGCAATCTTGTAGTCAATAATTTTTTTTAAAGTGTATTGATCGGGGTATTGATGTTTTTTAGATGAAAAACACAAGCGAAATGCATGAAAAATCTCCCCAGATTCATTTAACAAACAACTCGCGGTCCTTTTAGAATCTTTAAGAGCACATGAATCTGTCCCATTGTGGAACAGATTCCAAGTGGAACAGTTTTCAAATGTTTGGCTAACATCCAACGCTCGCCGCAGAAATACACTGATTTAATTGATCTGCGGTCGACGCACGGCCTTCGTACGACAAATTTGACTGGGGTGTAAAGTAATCTCCATTTATGCTTGATCCATTTCACTCTGAGATGTACAATATGGTAATATCTTATTACATTGGAATGACATGCAGACATGTACATTTTGGTAATAGTACATGTCAATCAGTTCACAGATGGCAGAATTTTTCTTAGGAAATACATCCTAAATAAATACAAAGTGAGGAAGGCTTCTTGAAAAAATGGGGAAAAAATCTTCCGGGTTTATAATTTGCAAATTGTTCATCATAAAACAGTTGAGACACGATTAATCAATACAGATTTACGATTAACAGGGTTCAAGGCTTGAGTTAACAATGAAAACTTACCGCAAAAGGATTACCCTTTGCATTCGTTTGACTTCACTTCTTAAAAGAGAGCTTCGTCTTCAGTAGTATTGTCAGGTCTTCGAAGATTGTTGGAGAGTTTGAAATATTGATCGTTGTTCTTCGCATACCAGTCGAAATGTTGAGACATGCGCAGACCTCTATTTAGTGATATTTTCATTTCAAATATGGCGGCCAATCCGATGTCTGACGACCCTTACAAAGAATCTAGGCAGTTTGCATTTTTACCTCCTGTGAAATAACAAGTGGAATTTAGTAGTTGTTTTGTGTTTTATTATCATTCTGCATCGTAATTCTATGTGATGTGATGTTGAAATGTCAGCAGAAATACATATCCATACGATAATCGAGTGAATCAGATAACAGATTTTTCGAAAACCCGTCTCGTGCTAAGAGTGTAAAAACTTGTATTAACATGCTCAAAAGTGCCAATGTGCACATCAATGTCAAGCTAAATCAATGTTGTGTCTAAAACAGGTACCTGATCTACTCAAAACAGCTTGTCATTCACGTATACACGCTTAGCAAACACGGCAAAATGACCTGAATCTTCGTTCGAGAGCTAATGTTTGCTCCGGTCTTCGTCATAGGTGTTCATCAGACTTCACGCATGCGCAGGAGAAAAACCATCAACCAATAAGGTTTATAAATCAATTTTGCGCATGCGCCTTACAACAGTAAAGAAATTCGAATTTATAAACGAACCAGTTTGAGATAACCCGATATCAGTCGGAGAAATCTGACGATCTACGAAACTCACTTCAAAAAATCAAATGCGGACTGACGGCGTATTCTACTATGTTTGGATCTAAGATTTTCAGTATAGATAAAGTCTTTTATGATCTTTCGAATGAGGTAAGTTTCTAGTTCGAATGACAATCGCATCAACTTGAACAAAAGTTGAGTTTTGACGAAATATTTTAACATGCGCAGAAGTCCCATTTTCGTTGTACCATATTGACTGATACGGCACTGCCAGTAAAGTGCGCGTAAAGGGATTTGCGTCAATGCGTACCACCTTCGTTTGCGCAAATTTTCACCAGTTAGTTTTTGAATATAACATGTCGTTGTGATGTTTAATCGATGCTAACATATCCCTTACATTTTTCTTTATCTTGGTGTGAAATAACACGCTATGATATTGAACAAATATTTCACTCTATTGAGGTGAATACCTGTCCATCTTTCACAAGTGATATTCCACGAAGCCCGAAGGGCAAGTGGAATATCACCTTGTGAAAGTGCTACAGGTATTCACCGAAAATAGAGTGAAATATTTGTTTTATTACTAATACTTGCTCCCCCTCTGGCATCTACACCCCACCTCCCCCTCTGACAATCCCCATCCCCACATCCCCCTCCCCATTTGACACCCCTCAAAATAATGGAAAAAATTGTGATTTTCTCAAATGTTTTAATTGACTCATACACTTTAAAGTGTCCAGAGAGCACCAAATAGTTTCTTAAAATTGTAAAATTTTCTAGGGGAGTGGGCCACCCCTCATACCCCAAACAAAACAATTGAAAAGTTCTGAATTTATTTTATGTATTGTCTCAGACACTTTTAAAGTGCCCTGACATCATCAAATAGTTCCTTGATGTAGTCAATGATTCTTGGAGACTAACACTTACTCGCCCTCTGGCATCCCCACCCCACCTCGCTCTCTGGCACCCCCCCCCCCTTTAAACCCCCGAATATTTTTGTTGAGTCATATACATGTACTTTGAAAGTGCCTAGAAAGCACCAAATAGCATATTAAAATTGTAAAGTTTTCTAGGAGAATTGGCCACCCCTCACATCCCCCACAAAACAATTGAAATAATTCTGAATTTTGTGTATTGTCTCAGACACTTTTAAAGTTCCCAGACATCATCAAATAGCTCCTTCATATAGTTAATAGTTTTTACTCGCCCTTTGGCATCCCCACCTAACCTCCGCCTCTTGTACCCCCCTCCCCCTTTGACAACCCTCAAAAAATTGAGAAAAACAATTATGTGATTTTTTTACACTTTGAAAGTGTTCAGATGTAAAATGTTCTAGGGAAGTAGGCCACCCCTCACATCCCCCACAAACAAATTGAGAAAAATTCTGAATTTATTTCATCTTGTCTCAGACACTTTTAAAGTGCCAAGATATGGTCAATGTTCCTGGGGGAAAGATATGGGGGACAAACACTTGCTTCCCCTCTGGCACCCCAACCCCACCTCGCCCTCTGGCACCCCCTTTGACACCCCTCCCCTCAAAATTTGAAAAAATTGTAATTGATTTTTTAAATATTTTTTAATCACTCATACACTTTAAAAGTGCTCAAATGCACCAAATATCATCTTAAAATTGTAAAATTTTCTTGGAGAGTTGGCCATCCCTCAAATCCCCCATAAAACAATTGAAAAAATTCTGAATTTCACTTATTGTCTCAGACATTTTTAAAGTGCCCAGACATCATCAAATAGAACCTTGATGTGGTCAATGTTTCTGGGGGACAACCACTTGGTCCCCCTCTGGCACCCCATACTTCACCCTCTCATCCTCTTTGACACCCCCAAAAGAATTCCCTTTTTTATTGACTCATACACTTTGAAAGTGCCCAGAAAGCACCAAATAGCATCTCAAAAGTGTAAAATTTTCTACAGGGAGTGGGCCACTCCTCACACCCCATACAAAACAATTGGACAGTTTGGACACTTAAACAGTCACCAAGTTACATCATGAAATCATAAAAACTGGCACCCCACCCCAAAAACTAAAGCATTCATTTACTCGAATACATTAAAATCGCTCAGAATTAATCAGACAGCATCTTGAATTGGTAGAGTTTTTGCTGCCGACTCGCTCCCCTAAGAAGAAAATGATTGAAAATCTGAATTTCTTTAAATTGATTCTATTGATTAAAACACCTTAAAGTGTCCAGAAATCACTGAATGTGATCTTGAACTGGTAAAAAGTTTCGTGTAAACATTTATGCCCTTCTAGCACACCTTCCCCCTATTCCAGTGTTTCTCCAAATTGCTCATTCAATATTTAGTCTAAAACAATAAAATACTACAAAATATAGGGAGTAACCGACCGCCCCCCCCCCCCTCTGACTTTTGCGATTTGATTTACGCGGCAAAAATTGACAATTTTATATTCTCTTTAGTAAAAAACGCACCCCCCTTGGAGAAAAGTGTCTTACGGGCCTGATTGCCATTGAATATCGCCAGATATCCCACGACATGTGACCCGGTTTTGACCAAT